TTTGTGAGTAATCAAAATGTTTTTCACTGCGTTCTGAGATCGTGTTTTTGGCATTACTCATCACTTTTCATTACCGACTACAATGGTAACTTAAGATGGGTGACGCTTTTTAAAAGTAAATCTAAACTTGCTCGAGATTTTTCCATGATTTTAATGAGCAAAGAGAATAATTTTCTTCCATTTTTAGTGCCTGTTTATTTGTGTGGTTGACTGCTGGTCTTTAAACGTCAAATCAAATCTTATTGCTCCTACAGGCCCCGTGTCGTGCCGAGCTCCAGAGAGCGTTGGACAGATTGGCATCGAATACTCGCACGCACGATGACCTCTTCACGATCCCCATACCCAACTGTGACAAAAATGGAGATTTCCACCCTAAACAGGTCTGTACTTTCCAGCTTTCACTCAGTGTGAAACGCCGAGCAGACCGCAATCTGACCGTGTCGACTGGTGAACGGTGAATCTCAATCGTGAAGCCGTTACCAGTAAAAATGTCTATCTTTATAGTTCAAAGAGTTCCTTTCAAACTACATAAGCAATCTTCTCGCCAAGACACAAAACATGCCTGCAGCTGATGACATACAGTCTAAATCAACACAAAAGTGTCTCCAAGCAGACTGTCACTGTCATGCCAAGATCGTTATTGTTCCAAGCTCACATGGAAAGTGATTTACTCTCACAAATCAAGACTGTGTGTAAAGCGGTTTCCCCTAAACTGTTGGACAGTAATCACTTTGTTGTTGCGATGGATGCAATTAGTTCTTGGATGAAGTTACCTGCTTTTTTTTAGGGGGTTAGTTTATTTATTTTTTTGCCTTTGAGAGATTGGGCAAGCGTGCAGATAAGAGTGAGGGAGCATGAGAGGAGATAGGGCTGCTCTTGAGCTCTTGATAGAGCTGCACATGCAATCAAAGCAGCAGACGCAGCGTCAGTGATAAAAGGCGAGCTCTGCTGAGGCACCCGTCATCAAAAGTCTGAGCTGTGCAGATTGTGTAACACGGCTAAAGTATCTCTCTCTGCTCAGATTCGCAGGCATCTGTTTACTGTTTAACTAAAACTGCGCTGTGATAAAACGTATTGGGAAGTAAAGCACGGGTCATTGGGGACAACTGGGAATCATTTCATGGCAGGGTTGCTCTGGGATTGTTAACTCGTCTGTGTCGGTGATGGGAAAAGTGCAAACGCGCACAATAAATTTAGTATTACAGTAACTGTTGAAAGCTCAAAGAAGGAATGCTTTAGCTAAGTAATCCAACTGCTTTAAACATTTCTCACACTCTGTTTGGATCCACTGGGTGTAATTTCTGTAATGTGTGATTGTGTTTTTAGCAAAGTAAGCAGCATTATCTCAATCTGGAGCTGCGATATTACATTTCGGTACAGCGGGAATGTCTTTAAATATCGCAACGAAGGTCATCTTTTCATTGATGAGTCTTGTTACACTCCTAGCAAAGACAAAAATATGCAGGAACAAATTAGCAGAATAGGTTCTCTTTAAAACTCCATGCAGTCAAAACAAAGCAATAATTTACCAAACGTGTACAGCGCCATAAAGTTGAGCTGTATGTCTCCTCTGCCTCACAGTTAGTCCAGAAAAACTGTTGCAGAACTAGAATGACGCCTTTGTCTTTATGCTTGCAGTGCCACCCTGCACGTGACGGCCAGCGGGGAAAATGCTGGTGCGTGGATCAGAAGACGGGCCTGAGGCTGCCGGGGCCGCTGGAACTGCGAGGGGATCTAGACTGCCACCAGTTAATTGCTAGCCTGAGGGACTGAAGACGAGGGGGGAAGCAGTGGGGGTGCAGGACCAGCTGAATTCTACTGGTGCTTATTAGTAGAACTATATGACTAAAGGACTTCATTCTTAAGCCTCACTCTACCTGAGGCCAACGGTACTTGAGCTTGTGCAACAAAAAGGAAACCATTGAATTGAGTTCTTTTGCTATCTCGTTTCTGTGTGCGCGGGTATGTGATACGAGTCTTTTGAGCACTTGTTCTGTTTTCTTTGTATCACGTGAACTTTAGGCCAATAGTCCTCAGACACATGTGCTTTAAAGTACCAGATGGCAGAAGAAAGGCACACATACACTTCCAGATAACAGTCGTGGTTGTGATCTTTGAGAAAGAGAGAATGCAGAGCGTGTCATTTTCTCTGGTTTAGTGTAGCATTCTGGGGAAAAAGCAGTCACTCCACCCAACAATCAAACCTGAGATTAAACATTTGGTTCATTCTTTCTGGAGCACGTATTCACCTGAATTTCTGGACAATCCGGAAAGATTCTCAAAAGACTGTGCACCAGCTTCCTGTTTTTTTTTAAGTAACTTGTGACTCTTAGTCGGCTATTCTTTCTTTTGTAAACCCCACTCGTCTAATAAGCAAGTGAAATCAAACCATAAAATGTGTTTGCTTGCGTTCGATAAACACAAAGTTTACTTCAGCCACGGCATCAGAGTAGCAATAACAGATGGGACGAGAACGAGAGAAAGAAACAGGGAAGAAAAGGAATGCATCGACCCCTGTCTCGAATTACCAAAATGATAAGCCATAGCTTTTCACACCACAAAGACCAAAGTGAAAAGTGAGATTAGTCTGCAAATCTGTATCTCACAGAGCCCAGAATAGTTTTGCTTCATCACCCCGTGGTTAACTCTGCACCCCCCTCCCTCTTTGAGCTCTCTCTAGCATAAAGGACTGGCAGCGTAGCTGGGTTAGAAACTCTGTGCACTGCTGATAGGATAATCTTGTTTCTCCAGCTGGTGCTAAGATGCCAGTAGGACTCGTGTTTGTATGAATATGCTCCGATGTAGGGGATTTATCTCCAAACAGACTGCATGGCAGAACTTTCGGCGGTGCTACATATTGATTGTGCCAAAATACAAAAGAAAGAAAAAAAAAAAAGAGGAAAATGTTTCTGCACTTTTTGCGTATTGTTTCAGATTGGAGTGACGAGGGGAGCAATTAGCATCAGCAAATGTGAGGATCACCTTTGTTTGAAAAAGGCTTTTCCTGCAGGTTTTCAGTGTTATTGTCAAATGATAAAAAAAAAAAGAAAATCCCACATTAGCTTTGCACTATCACTGCAGCTGCCTGGCTGAATGTTTCATTAGTCAGTTCTGTAAATATAAAAGCAGAGTGTAATAAAGTTTAATGATTAAACTCCTCGCAGCAAAGTAAACTTATAGCCAACATAAAATTGGGATTGGATGAGTGCGGCGAAGCATTAAAGATAACGCAGCGATGATGTGGAAATAAAAATTCCTCAGCGTATCTGTTATCACGCATCTGTTGAGGATTAGAATAATAATTAAAGGAGTTCATTATCAGTGCAAATGTCACGGTTTTCCATCATCAGCTGCATGGGCGACTTTGGTTGTTACCGACTCAAGAAAAGATTGTTGTTGCTGTCGTTGTTGTTGGTGTCTTGGCAGTTTCACCAGGATTCACTAGAAAAGGTTCAAAAACCAAAGAACAGAACAGCATTAACATTAACCTAACAAAGCACTGGTGTGTGGGCTGTAATTTTAAGATGTGTCGAAAACAAAAAGACACTTAACACAAAATTTTGGCTTTCTTTTTACTTCCTGTATGTCCACCAACCGATTTTACCTAAACAACATTTAAGTTTTAAATCACGGAGCGGTACGTTCAGCTCCAAACTGAATAACAAACGTGCCATGAAAATTCATTCATTTTTGCTTCTTACCTTTCCCACAGTGCATTGGGTTTTGACTTTATAAAAAGCAGGACAGATAAACAGAGACTGAGAAAAGAAAAATAATCTGAGCTTATCTCTCGTGCTTCCTGGGAAAGGTAGTAAAATATATAACCAGTGACAGCTGCTTTCAGCCCAGGTCCCTGTGGAAAGCTGATATTCCCAATGTTAATGCGATCATTTTCTCTTTATGCAACTCAGTCAAGAAATTGGATTTTATTGGACTTATTATGCTCATTGTCAACTCCATATCTTGATTCTTAGATTCTAGTAGAGCAGCTTCAAAACAGCTAAAATAGCTTAAAAGTAATGCTCATATATCTTACACTGGGTCCTGGTGCTGCCTCCCTTTCCTCTCCCTTTAAGCCAACTGTGCTGTCTGGCAAACAAACAATCAAGGAGTCTTCTGCCATAGACTGTATATTAAAGATGGATGCAATTTCTGAGTTTACGCCAATATGGAAGAGTGCCTTAAACTTAAAGAACAGGCAGCAGAGGGCAGGCCTCTTAATTGTAAAAAGAAACCCAACTGTTGAAGTCTATGGGAAAATGGCCCTCAGCTCTCTGACTACTTCTGTATACATTATGATTTATATTCCATAAATTAAAGTTGCCATTAGTGTCCAGGATACCTTATGACTGAACCTCGTGACTAAATGAGTAAATGTGCTAGCGTGCACTGTCCCTCAGGTTTTAAATCAGATCTGCCCCCATGTTCATGACATCTGGTTTGAAAACACTAAGACACTAATGTGAAGACGCTCATCACGATGGGTGTCCTCATCTTTTATATACAGTCTATACGTATAAAGCCAAGAGAGCATTTAGAGCACTCTGCACATTGGACAGTGTACCTCTACACTCCCTGATCTTATCTGAAACATTCACCAATATAAAAGACAAATGAAGGAAAAACATATTTTTTCTTTTCTTTCTTTTTTTTCCAAATGGAAAACTGTCAAAAAAGGTTTATTATGATTAAACCTGTAATGTTTAATCATAATAAACAATTCGAGCAACAATGACCAACAAGCATCTTTTCTGGTCTCTGTGTTAACCAAGTTTTGCTCTCATTTAAAGCACGAGTCAAGTTTCCACACACAGGTTACAGGGTATAAAAGTAACAATAAAAATCCAAATAAATCAAGCTGCGATAATCTAACCACTGAAGCCAACGCTCAGTTTAAACATTTTTAGATACAGCGCATGTCATTGACGTGCAGTTTTAGTTGGTAGTAAAAACTGAAATGCATCCAAAGGTAGTTCAGGTAACCACAGATAGATAAGTAGAAGATGGTATGGGTGGAGAATAATTGCTGCGGCTTGAGAAAATCAAACCGAAAACTCGTTTTAACGAGCGGGTTAAAATAAAGACGCCAGTTCTCATTCAGTGAACTCACAAAGATCGTTCCAGCAAATCCTATCTTACAATTCATCGACTAATGAAGTGTTACTAAACACGTTTGTCTGTTAAAACAGTCTTAATCCTTGTGAGAGATGGAAAATGGTTTTGGCTTTGACTGTGTAAAGGCCTTCTAACTACATAAACGGTGTATTTAAGCTATAGTAAGTTGCTTGTCCTCTGACTTTGCTGTACTGAACTGTAATTACATTTCTCGACAATAGACTGTTTGCATTTGATATTATCTGTTAATGTGTAGAACATATGAAGTAATGTTTGCATGCATACAAACGGACTGAGGTTGGGAACAGCTGAAGTCTTGTGTATGTTTCCAGAACAGGATTGTTATACTTAAACACTGAAGTGATCGAACGACTGAAATATAGAGTTTCAAATGAAATAATCAGCTACATTTTAAATGTTTTCCTGATGAAAATGTACACATTGTAATACAACGATTAAAATACATAGAAACTACAGTGTAGCTTGGTGTTATTAGTCGCAGCAGTGATATAAACCTGCATTCCTTCTGGTGTCCAGCAGGTGGCGAGTCCCTTGGCTGCCAAAAGAAATAAGATTGTATTAACTGAGAATTTAAAAAATAAACCTTCCACTAAATTCTTTTGTGACCTCAATAAACATCGTTTGGTTGATTTCAAGGTCTCAAATGCTAGTTTAACATAGAATAATGTTAACTTTTTAAAGTATTGTCACATTTAGAGTAGAACTGGACAAAAAGAAGGATGTACTTTATGGTGTGACTATATCCTCTATCGTTTTAGTGAGGTGGTGCAGAAAAAAAACATTTGGTGCCCACCCTAATCAGGTTTAATGTAGAGTGAAAGAAAACTAACCTGCATTACATTTGTAACCATTTTTTGTTACCTGGCTTTTCACATATCCAAGCATAAGAGATATTTCTGTTTATTAAATCTGCAGATACAAATAAATGCATAGATTTGTCCTGTAAGGGTAACACAGATTCTTTAGCTTCCTATTTAGGACTAATTGTGTTTTTGTGTCTTGTCACCCACCAAAAAAAACAAAAAAATCTACAATGGGTGACATCATTTATATACAGTCAATGTTTATAGCAGATATAGTTCCACTGATGGATCATGGAAAACAGTCATCTGGTTGTCATAAAGTTGTGTTTTTGGTTTTTATCCCACTGGGAAACGTGATTTCTCGGAGTCCTCGCTTCCTGAGTACAAATGCAAAAAGTTCACTCGAGCATTTGTGGGATGTGTCTGACGCGCGGAGGCCTCACACTTCGACCCTCAGGGCCCGAAGTACAAACTGCCAAATTCCTGGGGTCTGTCCATGCCTTGACAGGTCAGAGTTCAACTGAAGGCACAGTTGGATGTGTACAAAGGTAGCAAAACACTGTAGTATAAAAATGTCAGAGATATATTTTGGAGAATGGTGCATCAAATCTGAACTATGCTCTATTTAGTGTTATTATTATTTATCAATAAAGACTTATCATTTCTTATCAGTGTCCCAGTTTACTACAGTTAATTATAGTTCTTAGTCTTTTTTTCTTTTAAATATCTAATTTGTATGTATCCAATCTCAGATCTTTACTGACTCTTCTGTTAAACATGCTCTTGCAGTGAATCGTATGTGAAATATTTCTGTGATTGAATAACTAAATATGAGATCCATTTTTCTAGTGAATATAATTAAGTCATGTTTAAATAAATAAATAAATATAGATTCCAGTGTTTGTCTGTCTCTGGCAACCACATGTGACTATTTCACTGTGCTTACATGGGATTTGTCAGATAAGTGAAGTACAGCATTTCCCACCTTTGAGCACCAGATCATCATAAAGTTGTTCGAGATACTCAGACTCAACAAACCCAGTGAACTTCTGTCCCGGGGCCAGTAAAAAGTATACTGGGCAGCTGGATGGATAATGAGTTGACGAATGCAATGAACTGAAGCAAACTATTCTTGGCAAGCGGTTTTTCACCAGAGTCAGCATTTTTACTTTAACGCTGTGGGGTCATCATAGGTGGGATATTTAACCTGATCAAATGTTATATTTCAAAGCTGTTAAGTAAGGATGTAAGGATGACAATTTAGACATAAAAGGGTTAAAGAGAGTGTATGAGGCAAGGAAAATAAAGACGCCGTGCTTAGAGTCAATAAAACAGCAGGAGGGCTGCATTGGTGCAGGACACTTATATATGCAGTAAAAAGAATGTAGCGAGCGTTGCTAATAAAACGTTTCAGCTCAGGTGGACTCAAACAGAGAGCAGCAGCGATGATGCTCAGGATCGCTTTGCTATACCATAAAAAATAAAAGCACAATTGCACCTCCACTCACACATGGTGAAGCAGGCTGCAGAAGACGGAGACACTGTGGTCATAAAAGGATGGACACGGTCAGCAACGATACTCAGGCAGGCTCTGCAGGTTAAACAATGTTGAGTTAGTACTAAAGTACAAAGTGTACCAAGAAAATATCCCCCAGCAACACCACTAGCGTGAACCGCTGATGCAAGCAAAGATGCATCCACTCCCTCGCTCATGCCAGTTACACCAACTTCTGACCATCCAAATGTCACAGCAGAAATTGAGACTCATCAAACCAGGTAACACTTCTCCAATCTTCTCCAATCTTGGCGAGCCTGTGTGAACTGTAGCCTAGGTTTCCTGTTCTTAGCTGACAGCAGTGGCACCTGGTGTGGTGTTCTGCTGCTGTAGCCCATCTGCCTCAAGACTAAGGCTACGTTCACACTGCAGGCGAAAGCGCATCAAATCCGACTTTTTTGACCCTCTGCGACCCATATCTGATCATGGTGTGACAGTGTGTACGGCACAAATCCAATATTTCAACTCTGATCTGGGTCACTTTCGTATGTGGTACTGAATCCGATACATATCCGATGTTTTAGAAAGCTGCTGTTTGAACGGTCATGTCGCATTAAATCTGTCTTTTACGTCACTGACACAAGACAGACGCCAATTATCAGCGCCGGAGAAGACATCGCAAACGCTTCCTGGCCATCCCGTGTAGATGTCAGTGAAACTGTTGGGAAGACAACGTGAACATTTTATTTGTACTGTATAATCTGCAGATTCTGACAGAAATCTGCAACTATCCTTTGAAGCACTGCTGCTCTAAAACAGCAATAAGGATCATTATTAGGCCATTTGTAAATAACAAAATAACTTAAAGCAAAAATTGGGAAACGTAAAGTCCGAAGTCTTTATATTAAGGCCATCAGTCAAACAATACTGTTTGCTCTGGGTCTAAACAGAGCGTGTTGTGTGTGACGTCATGTTTTGCGCATGCGGACGATTTGAAGCTTCACACTAGAGCGTGTTTGCTGTCGCATTTTATTTGTAGTGTGAACAAGCAGACAAAAAAATCGGATTTGAGCATTAAGACCTGCAGTGTGAACGCAGCCTAAATGTATCTTTGGATAGCTTCTGCATATCTTGGTTTGCATACCTTGAGTTACTGTTGTCTTGCTATCAGGGCGAAGCTGTCTGGCCTTTCTCCTCTGACCTCTGGTATCAATGAGGGATTTTCAACCAGAGAACTGCTGCTGACTGGATATTTTCTCTCTTTTGGACAATTCTCTGCGAACCCTAGAGATGGTTGTGTGGGGAAATCCCAGCAGATCAGCAATTTCTGAAGTAATCAGAGCAGCCTGGCACAAACAACCATGGCAGTTTCAAAGCCGTTTAATTACATTTCTTCCCCATTCTCCTGCTCGGTTTTAAATTCAGCTGGTAGCCTTAACCTTGTCCACGTGCCTAAATGCACCGAGTTGTTGCTATGTACATGCCTGATTAGATATTTATCATGATTAGTTATTTATATCACTTTAATGAGCAGCTGAAACAGTGTACTTAACTGAGTGTTACTCTGGGCTATTGTGACCAAACTAAGCAGGGTATAAACCTCTGAATAAAACGTGACTACATAATGAGCTTTAGTGATCTGGTGAACAAAAATACATACATAATACGATACAAGTATATCAGGTTGTTGCCTCGAGACCAAATGTAGAAAATAAAATATTTAGAAGGTATGACAGAAAATATGTACAAGGAGAATTTATGTTCTCACATCTTAATTTCCCTCAGCCTACAGTGAAAGCTTTTTAAATTGACGCATTAATCATAAAACTCGATGCAGTTATGCAAGGAACCTCTGGAAGGTTACATCATGATAATGTGTGTTTAGCAGCTTCTAAAAATATCTCCGCCATCTAACACCAGAGTAAACTTTCACGTCTGCTTAGTTCCACTGCCTGAGTCTATTTTGGCTTTATATGCCTAAGGACTGATTGTGCATTACCAGAGGAGCTTCATGGACTCATTTAAAGTGTCACATGGGATATTCTGCCTCTGGGCATCCACAATCCCACAGCTATACCTGGGAGGCCCTGCACAAATGTCCATGTAAAGCCTGCATTGTAACTGAATTTGCAGGAAGCATGTGACCTCCAGCCTACCTCCAGATGCACTCGGTTGCAGGTGTGCAAGGTTAAACAAGGTCCTTGCCATGCCTCATTTGGAATCTGTTCTCTGTCTCATCCGTTCAGCTTTCTGGCCTTTTGTGACCTGTGGAGTCAAAGGAAGGTGAAGCACCAGATGAGCTCTGAATGCATATTGTGCAGGAGGCAGGTCATGCAGAAGTAAAATAACCTCTCAAGTGTACAGAGTAAACAGAAAGAAAGAGGGTCACAGTGACCACAATCAATTAACAAATTCAAAACAAGAACTATTCAGGCTGAATGGGCCAAATCCCACAGGCTTTTCTTTGTTTTTTTTTAGGGAACTCACTATTACAACTATTGACCTGGGCGGCTCTCAGACAATGTGAACAAGAATGCAAAGTATTTCAGTTCTAACAACAGGGGAGCAGTGAATGGGGCAACCTTGAGTTTATCAAAAGCTCACGAGCCTGTGAAGCATCCATAATGCAGCTTATGGTATGGTGACATAAGAAATCATTCCTGATTTTCTTCTATATTGCAAGAAAAATGAGCTTACTGCCTTAAAATGGAAATAATATATGCTTTCCACAGGTGATGGCTGCAGAGCATCTGCACTGACCTGGCTGATTTTTGACATGATGCGTTTTGCAGTCAGGGGTGACAATGCAGGTCAGCTTTTCACAATCCGGGAGCAAACTGCATCATGCTACAACGTTGCACGTCTGCAGCTTTAATGTAAAGCCACGCAGGGAAAATGTGAAATCCCACTCAGCAGCTCTGTTGTTGCCATATGGTCTTTTTTCCTTCTGAATGCTGGAGGAGAAACGTCTCTGCTGTCACTGCAGCAGCGGTGACAGCAGAGAGCGATGAGCATCAGCATCGAGCCGAGGCACAGCTGTAATAAGGAGAGGGTGGGGGTGCAGTTCTAGAAGATTCTGCAGGAATCATACGAGTGGACCCCATTTCACTGGTTTATTGTGGGAACTGTATTACTAAGCTAGGTGGTTAGCCTTCCCTGCCAAAGCCACAACCTGCACACAGTGGTGGGGACTAAAGGTTTTAGGGTGAGTTTTTTGCCCTTTAGTATTCATGCTTGCAGATTACGTGGGAATTTCAAATAACTGTAGACATGTCGGCTTTGCCTAACGCTGCATGCTAATAATAATCATAGGTGTCATTCTCATTCCTTTAGCTACCAGCTATTCAGCTAGTTAGACGTCAACCGGCTGGTTATTTAGCGCAAACGAACTTATGGGCCAGGCGAACTACAAGAAATGTCAGCTATCACAACGTTAGGAATTTATCAGCCACATTTAAAGTCAGCTCACAACCGTAAATTAAACTTGAGGGTGACTTTTGGCGCAGACAGGCTAACCTAACCTAACAGCAAAATATTTAGCTAGCTAGCTAGCGACTTGCTAGTTACGTTATAGGTCGTTTATAGGATGAGCATTGACGAGTCTAACGTCTGCGAACTACGCTCTTCACCCACCATCATCATATTCACACTTTCATAATCACATAGAGCTGTCATTGATGCTATTTACATTGTGACACAGTGAATTTGCCCCATAGATATTCCGCTTATTAAGTTAGCTTTGAGCTAACGTTGATGCTATTGGACGTTAGCTTGCCTTGTTGCCTGAATCACCATCAGCATCTCTTTGTTTTACGCTATGTTTGAATTTGCCATTTAATCACTGGGGTATATAATGTTATCCTCCTCATAAATGTGTTTATTGCAGATCCAATGACGGGAACAGACTGATTCATCCTTCTCACTGCAGAAATGTCAAGTAAGACACTGGGAGTGTTTGAAACAGTTAATTATAGTCAGGCTCTTTGTAGGTGATGGTATCTAAATGCATCAGACCTGGTGTTTCAGTTTAACCATGCGAAGTGATATGACAAGAGTTGTGGAAGTTAGAGGATTGGACAGGACTGATTCTCATTTTTTTTTTTTTTTATTAATTTCTTTCCCCAAACAGAGAGACCATCCTATGCCCCTCCACCTCCCCCTGCCCCTACAACTGTAAGTATTCTCAAATATACATCCACACCCATGGGTTTGTATTTAAAACCTCTCATTCTGTTTCAGCCCCAACTCCAGCCACCCCCTGGGTGTTTTATGTCACACAAAATTGAGATTTTTATTTTGTTTTGAGGTACTGGAGGAAATCAGAATCATTGATCAGAAATAAATGCAGTTTAAAAAACACTGGGAAAGATTTTCAAGTGGTATGTGGGATTTATAGCAGATTTGCATGTTTTGTCAGGGCCTTGTAGTCGCTCAGGTGCAGTGACAAATATAGAGCATAGATTTTATTTTTTTTAGACTTGGTCAAAAGAAAGCAATGCATGAAAAGTGGCACTGAAAGAGTGAATGAAGAATAACTAAAACTAATAATTAATTAATAAAAATGATTTGGTATCAGAGTACATCTTAAAGTAAAAGTACTCATTAAGTAGAATTGTATACATGATATTGATTGTATTAAGATAAGATGACCTTTATTAGTCCCACAGGTGGGAAATTTGTTTTGTTACAGCAAAAGTGCAAAGTTATGTAGCAGAAATTAGAAAACACTGGAATGCAATAAAATACAATAGAATAAAAATAAAATACTATATACAATAGAATAAAATAGAATAGAATAATATATACAATAGAATAAAATAGAAATACAAATACTATATACAACTGAGTAGGAAAATACTGGATATTGGATCATAATGACTGATTCATTGATATTCACACAGCGATCTACACAAAACGTGTGTGAATCAGAAAGAGATGACCTATGGCTGCATCTCTACTGAAATCCAAGGAGCCAAAGTGCAAATAGAGCTACATGAGTGTACAAACACCATCGTGAACGATCATAAAATCTCATTTTAGCTTCGTTTATACATGTTGCATTCAAATTAAACATGTATTTGGCTTTCACGTGATTGCCGTAACCTGTGTAGTTTCTGTGTACCTTGATATTTCTGACTACCTCTCAGCATTAGATCCACCTTTCCCTGTTCTCCCACACAAACTTACTCTTTGCTCCACATTTAGTTAGGATCCAGCTCACACACATGCAATAAAATGATTGCGTCCAAAATATAATTGCATTGAAAAAGAAAGCAACATAGTGGAACACAGCATCACCCCCAGACATCAGTTTTAGTTTTAATACCTCATCGAATATGTTTTAAGTTTTGATGAGGAGAATCTTAAGAAGGGTCCTGATTGGGTCTTTTCAGTCACACAAATAAAACCAGAATATTAGTTCTAGGCTCATAGATTTCATGATGACATTTTTTGTCCTCATGTGATACTTTTAGCAACAGTTCTACCAGATAAATGCAATTTAACGTTTGCAGCGTTTGGCCTGTTTTATACAAAAAATAATCTCATATAATAATAATAGGCTTACTGGCAAAAACAATCTTAACACAGTTACTTAACTTTAAAAAATGTTTGTTTTTTTTAAACAGATTTAACTCAATGAATTTTGCCCAGTTGCCCAATATGACAGAAATTCAACAAAGTACTCTAATTTATGCTTCAGGAGTAAAAGATTTCTTTTGAGAGGACCTAACAGAGTCTGCTGCTCTGAATCCTTCATTTTTTATATTTTACTAGCCGTAATTTTCAGCCTGTTAGTGCTTGTTGGCAGACAAAGCCACACATAGATCAAGGCAGATATGGCTCAACAGTGAAAGTCTGTTTCTGATTTTATTGTCGTCTGCACTACAGATGCTCTCACATAATTTTATTTGAGATGTATCTGTTGTTAAAGTAGCATTAATCACTTTGGGAAGGGGATAAACTTTATTCCTACTAGGAATAAAAATGATTCAGGAGAGGCGAAATTATGGAGACCAGAGGGGAAGAAATCTCCTCCAGCAAATCACACCAAGGACCTTTAGTACAGTTTGTGCTTGATTTTGTTTAGTCACAGAACGATGTGCTGACACACCACTGCTGTATTTTCCTATAGCACCAGCATGAATGCAAGTTTCTTTATTTTTGCATTTTCCCAGCTTCTTTCATTGGTTTCTTTATTATTTTTTCGTTGTCTTGGGCTTTCCCCTCTTCTTCTTTTATGTCATTTCTCATTCGTTTCTGTCTCATTTGTTTCCATCAGCAAATGCCCAACACCACCGGGTTTGTGGGGTACAACCCATACAGCCATCTGGCCTACAACAACTACAGACTGGGAGGGAGCCAAAGCAGCAACAGTCGGGTAACGGTATGAATATTAACATAGAAGAACAAAACAAATAAATAAAGGCAGTGACTGAAAGTATAAGGCAGACCAGAAAAGCTTGCTCTAGTGAAATGAAGACGCTGCTGATGAGGCCTTTGCAAGCTACAAGACTGACTTTTCTTTGTTTGGAGTAAATCAGATTAGACATAATTTTGCTTTCCTACAGTAGAAACTCATTCCGGTACCGAGACGGAATCAGAAATGATGCATACCATTCCAAACTCCCTCTGCTGCCTCCATCATACTGCAGACCTGCTAAGAGTCCATCTGTGTCTATTCAAATCCCACCTGCCTTTCAAAGTCTGCATTTCTGACAGCCATGTTAAGTAACCCATGCCATCATGTTGCCATGGCATTAAAGACTTTGCTGCTCGGCATGGCTCTGGCTGCTGAGCAGTAATTTAGTCGCTGCATGCAAGCTGTGGTTGGCTGCCTCTGATAATGGCATTATGTCTCGCACTGAGCAAATCTCAGCTCAAGTGAGATTTTTCTGTTTGATTTTTTTTCCCCCCACAGTCTGCGTTGTTGCAGTGCACTCTGTGGGCTTTCTTCTTCTTGTTTATACCTCCAAACTGTCATCAATGCAATCGAGTTAAATGATAAGAAGCTCCTTTAATGGATCTTGTGTTTAAACCTGAACATAATCACCTGCTTGTAGCGTCACAAGCTTCAGCCTAGCTTAGCTATAGTGTTTCTGTGGATGCCTCGTCGCTGCAGAGCAGGCGTATCTCAAGGTGACTCTTTTTCCTTTCTTTACCAGAATTCATCTGGAATAAATATCCCAAAGCCACCCAAGCCACCCGATAAGCCACTGATGCCATATATGAGATACAGTCGCAAGGTAGGTACAGTGTTTAACTGCTTCCTTTTGCATCGTCATGTGCTCAGCTGGAAGAGAGGGATGCTTTGATTTGAACATAGTTTGCATAGTAAGATGTACATGTTGTCTTGGTAGTTGTTTATCGAGGTAGGTGAAGCCAGATTAAGCCAGGAATTACTTAGAACTGTCTACATCACATGGTGGGATTTCTGAGCTTGGAAATGCAGATTAAAGCACACGGCCTCCTCTGGTTTGTGACCTCTCTGCAAAGAGATAACCACCTATAGCCCCTCCAACCCAACCCAACCCCACACCCATGTCTGGTTCTCATCACCAGGTTTGGGATCAAGTAAAAGCCTCCAATCCTGATCTGAAGCTATGGGAAATTGGGAAGATAATCGGTGGCATGTGGAGGGACCTCACTGATGAGGAGAAACAGGATTATTTGAATGACTACGAAGCAGAGAAGGTTGGTTGTTTTACAAGGGGTGTTTATGGGGTTTTTCCTGATGAGTGACCAGTAGATGTGTCCCCGCTAGCTGTGGGTTCCTCCAGTCATCATTCCTTCCTGAATAAACCTCTTTCCTCATCTTGTCCAAGATACAAGGGTCCACATTGTTGTCTGCTTGCCTTCTCTGTTTCCTTGTCATTCCTTCATCTTTTCCACTGTAGATTGAGTATAATGAGAGCATGAAGGCCTATCACAACTCGCCAGCCTACCTGGCCTATGTAAACGCAAAAAGCCGGGCCGAGGCAGCTCTGGAAGAGGAGAGTCGCCAGAGGCAGTCCAGGCTGGACAAGGATGAGCCTTACATGAGTATTCAGCCAGCAGAGGATCCAGATGGTAAGGCCCCCTGGGCACTGCCGCAGAGTTGTAATTATTGTAGCACGACCACACAGCGTTGCGAGCGCGCACACCCAGTGAATGCGTTATCCCCCCCCCTCCTCCTATAGCGCTACAACCATTAACATCTTTGGTAATGGTACCTTTGAAACGCCATTTCTGCTTTCAAGCTTCCAGCCTGGGACCAAAATTTGCCTTTGTTTTGCACACGTGTTTACATTTCGTAGGTATTTTTGGCAATGGTTAAGACATAATTGCAAAATTTACATTCTTTGCTCTGTTGTTATAAAGCCTGACTGATGCACGCACACACACACACCATGTTAGACAGAAGCCAGAAGAAGACGTTTGAGTTACACCCACCTCAAGGAAATGATGCTTGTCTGGGGTCTGGCTGAGTTACAGTAGACGATAATGATGCACAGGAAAACTACAGATAAAACAGTTGCTATTTAGAAACACCCCAGACCATAAAAATGTCAAAGCTGGTATCCCAGTGGGCTTTGTTCTTAACAAACTGCACGTACAGCGACGATTAAATAAGATTTAGAACAGAGATCACTCTTTATTAAAGTCTTCGTGCACTTCTACTTTAAACATCAGTTTGTTGCATTGTTTATGAACATTAAAATGGGTATTTTTGAGGTGCTGTGGTTTGACTGTACTAGAAAATAACCTGAAACAGTGTTCGACGTGGAGACCTTACCTTTTGAGAAATATCCCACACATTAGTGAGACGTCATTTGTGATCATAGAGAAGCTTAATGCTCTCACACGGCATTCGGAGTGGTAATGGTTTCCTGTTTTTGTGTCTCGAGCACCTATGTGGCAAACGACATTCATTTCTGCTCTCTGGAAAGTTTCAAAAGGTGCACGCAGAGGTGCACAGCACCAGCAACCTCAGGTGATACCCAGTGAGCAAGGGCGAAGCTTGCCACAACAAAGTCAAAGCAAGTCTGCTAAAATGGAAAAATGGCGAATACACAGGTGGATTGTTGTTAACGGGTAAGAGTAAATGGATCTCTTTTTAAACATGTATATGGAGTATAAAAATACACTGTTTCCACTGTACTGTATTTGTTTCTGTAATAAAGTTTAGTCCCTTTAAATAATAATAAGAAATTACCACAACCAGTAGGTTCCTCAAACATCCCTGCAATAGTCCCTGCTCTTCTCTGAAGCCTCTGTGAGCTCAACAGCACCAGGTCTCCACCTGCTGCAAGGCCTGGTTTGTGGGGCCATCGTTCTCGCAGCGGATTTCCAGAGCAGAACAAGAACGACTGCTTCAAGCTGCAGTTTAAGATGTTGAAGCTGGAGTCTGACGGCAGGGGGAGGGATTTAAGATGCTTATATTAAGAGCCTTCAATAACTTCCAATGTATAATCATACATCGCGTGAAAACTGTGACTTTATTATTGTCTCACATCGTTGTAGAGCAATTCTGGCAGAGTTTCTTTACAGCTTTGCTTCAGTTCATTCAAGTTTGCGGGCGCTGGTTAATGCACAGGATTATGATCAGGTTGAGGTCTGGACTTAGACTGGGACCACCACCATGCATCGTCATTCTATTACAGTCATTCTGTCGCAGGCTGAAATCGGGCCAAGCTTTAGCTTTCACACAGAATTTTTTGAGGTCTGGTCCTGTGGCTGCAAAAACAAGCCCAAATCATCAGCCCCCTACCATCGTGCTGACAGTATGAGGAGTTGTGGTGGTGCTGTGCAATCTGATCAAACGCCTCCACTTTGGTCTCATTATTATTCTCGTGGTTTGTTCAGATGCAACTTTAGAAACTTAAGACATGCTGCTATGTTCTTTGGAGGGAAACGGCATTCTCCTGAGAACTCTACCAAACAAGCCATACTTGTTCCGTCTTCTTCTAATTGCACTACGATTATTATGATTAGATTCAAAGATTCAAAGCGTTTATTGTCATATGTACAGAAGACATCGCATTTCTCTGTGCAGTGAAATTCTTCCGTCTCGCTGTCATAAAGACAAATGAGGATAAAAAAGTAATGGAAGATAAATAAGTACAAAAATAAGTAAGTGAAGACAAGTGAGGTTTGCAGATGTCGACGTAGATGGATGTACATGTACGTACGCTGATGATTGTTACTATTATTAT